TGAACGAACAAGTCGATAGACCTAAAAACCTCGTACAAAAGACTGGAAAATCCTTGCCCCAAAGCAACCTGGTTCGTGTACTGATGTAGGAAGGAAGATGGGGGTGATCACTCAGAAGACAGAATGATTAAGAAAACGGTGATGGACGGAAACGGGAACTGGCCCAATGAGGGAGGGCAGACGTAGCTATACCGGCCTGACGGAACGACACCAGAACGGGTCACGAGCAGAGACCAGTAGTGAATCTGAACCAAGTAGAACAGAGGATATTCGTCGAGAACACGATAAATCAGATAAAAGTGCCGTTATTGCAGCCTCCAGCAGTGACCCCAAACAGTGTGATGCATTCACGATGGAGCGGATCACCAGCTTTTGAACTACTTCGGGCCGATCAGAATGGGACACGTAGAAGCGGAGATACGGGGGGAGATGGGTAGTAAATATTCCACCATGAAGTCCCGAAAGTTACGGACGTGTCGCGAGCGGACACCAGGATAGATGGTACGTCGGGGGGAGGAAACTTGATTCATTTATATGCGTCTATGTGAGTGGCCGGATAGCTTGTGATCGCGTCAATAAAGCTTGTGCTTCATTGCGGTGTCGTTCATTGATGCGATACTACCCAGTTCCCCGACCTCCTACACTTGTTGTATATGTGTGCCCTAGTAACGGACAAACTGGCAGATGAATCGTGAGTTACTGTACTATGTTTGCATTCGCTACTGTCTGAAATTACTTCTTCACGAGCAACTACGTCTGCAGCAGGCAGCGAAAATTCTAGGAGTGTCCAGCCGGATGCGTCGCTCTGTCGACCCATATGATTTGACGGAAAATGCAAAGTGATGCCTGCTCCATGTGCAAAAATTTAGCAACGTTTTAGTATGCAACCGATTAAACACTGACATCAAGTGATTATATAGTTACGAACAGAAGAGGGGATAGCGTGTTGTTGTCACATTACTCTCCACATCGGTAATTAGAATTGTGCTCTCTATTCATTCGTCGTGAATGACAATCCAACTGAACGGTTCTTAGACAAATATGCGTTTGCTTCGAATTGGCATGGGTGAATAATTTAATTGGTACAGCAGCTGTTGCGTGTTCGTAGTGTCCATACTTTCGGTTATTTTACAGGGTTACTGTTCTGCTTTCACAAACATAACAGGATGGATACGAAATAGTTCAATGAGAAACATAAGACCACGATCATATATCAACTTTGGAAAGCAATGCACTGTCACCGATTTAAATTTTAACATCGAACATCGTCTGTGATCAGAATAAAGCTGGTGATTACGGGGCACTCAGTGTCGAAGTTGACATCAAAGGAGGGTTATTGGTTAGACACCAGTATTCCCTCAACAAAGTTAGCTGTATCACCACCACCACCACCACCACAAATTTTTGCATCGTCGCAGCTGGCTGCAATAAAGCGTGCAATTATACTGATGACAGCCACGGAAGTCGGTTGCAATTCCTCCAGTGTCGCGCCCCTGGTTTCTACCTAAGTCATGGGTACGACATGACCAACGGCAACGCTTAGGCTGGTGTGCTTGGGTGCCATGGCCCGGTTTGGCTCGGTTCGGATCACAATGCATTCATATTCCACTCGCCTGATTGACAAAGAAGTGGTCATTTCGGCAGACAGCTCGAAATAGTACCATCTCGTAGTACTCGTTTTAAGTTTCATCACTTCTCCATAAGGGAAACTCAATGCTCTGGCAATTGTTATCGCCACGGTATATAAAGGATGCCTGTGGCTCAGCTCTTGGTTGATGCTGGTTTAACTTAGGATTTATTCCACTGCCTATGTCGGACACCTGTTTGAAAGATTTTGGCTTGCAAAAAGCGTACAAGTAACCAGTTATGTACACTGTTGATGATCACTCTTACAAATAACATTCACGAGTTAGCTGTCATGTAAGACCTACAGTGTAGTCGCTTTAAGGGGAGGGTATGAGCTGAAAAATCTGAAAAATTGTAATTTTTGGCCATTTTGGAAAACCATACAACTGTCAACTGCAGTCATCCTAGAATATAAATCTGCAAGCCATTTTTCTGTTAGCATCTTTGTAATGCAGTATTTCAGCATTTTGTGAAGCAGGTGTGACTTGTTTTTCTATGTATTCAAGCTCATTATATATGCGTAAATTTTAAAATGTTGCATCTCGGCTTATAGACGTCCTAGAAACTTCATTCAAGTTGCATTCGATTTGGCTTTGCAAGGCCTATCTGGTAATTCCGCAGAGAAGGGGGTTCCAGAGCAAAAATGGCGTGGCCACAGCTCTCACAGTAAATGGCCATAACTCGAAGCTTCTCGACACCTCAGTTTTATCAAACTATTGCAACGCTTGTGCAAAAACCAGAGGAACAAAACTGAGACCGAGTTTCAGGCATGGAAGTGTTCACATGTACAAGACTGCGACAAGAATCACAGTGGGTCGGCAGGAAGCATGGAGCCAGCTGGAGCATTAGAAATATTCCGCCTAAGTGAGCAATTACATGGACTGCACTATGTTTCTTTTCTTGGAGATGGTGACAGTAAATATTAGGCATCAGTATCAAATGCAGAACCACCTGTGTATAATGATGTGAACATTTCCAAACTTGAGTGTTGTGGGCACGTGCAGAAGAGAATGGGGCGACACCTGACCAATAAGGTAACTGAGCTGAAAAAAGAGACCTTTATACGCAATGGCAAGAGTGTGCACGGAATCGGTGGGCGAGGTTGTCTGACAAAGAAGGCAATCTTAAACATTCAAGGACATTATGGGGCTGCAATAAGAAGAAATACTAATAATGTGCCTCAGATGCAAAAAGATTTGTGGGCCATATGGGAGCACCGCAACCATGATCACACTAACTGTGGAGACTGGTGTCCTTCCAAGAAGCAGCCAGCTGGAGACTGACAGGAATGCTCTCCCTCCTTATGTGTGCAAGGCTATCAGGCCTGTGTTTGAAACTCTTGCCAGTGAGACATTACTGTCAAAGTGTGCCCACGGAGGAACACAAAATACAAATGAAAGTTTTCACAATTTAATTTGGCAAAGCTGTCCAAAGGCTGGTTTTGTTGGAAGGCGAAGGCTTACTCTTGCAGTTGCTAATGCTGCAGTGGTTTTCAATGATGGAGAGAGGGGTAGGCTGCCTATATTTGAGAAATTGGGGATGTCTACTGGATTGTATACCAGACTGTGTTGTAATGAACCAGACAGATCAAGAATTCATGTAGCAGCTGCCGGACTTCTGCAAGCTGAACGACCAGCATGGAAAGTAGCGGCTTCAAGGGAGTGTGAAGACATCGAAGATTTCTATCTTGCGGGTGCCCATGAGTAGTCCAGGTTAGTTTTTCTATGTAAATCATATCATGGGACCATCACCAAAATTTGTGTAAATTACCGATATGCCAGAAAAGTTTAAATGACTTTCATTTTTTCGTGTACTTCAACTTTAAAGCCATTTTTCTCAAAACTGCGTTTTTCACTCTTACGTCAGCGTTCTGAGGATAATTTCAAAACTGATGATCCAAAGTTAATAAAATTTGGAGGAGATGCTCTCCTTTAGTTTCTGCATGGAATAAACTAATTTTAAGTGTCCTACACTTGTGGTCAACTTTTAACCTCAGTTCAGATTTTTATGCAAATCTGAACATCAGTATTGGAAGATCTAATTCAGATACAGAGTTGAGTATAGTTTATTCTAAAGCTGAACTACATCTAAATAACTGCACAAAATTTTAGCTCTATACATGGAATACTTTTTGATGGGACCCAGAACACCACAACAACCAATTCGGCATCACTAATTTAGGTACCTTAGTAAAATGTGAATAAAAATAATAAACATACTTCTCTTTATTTCTCTATCATATATTATTTGCATGATAAATAATGATATTCCCTGCAAAATTTCATGAAGATCTGACTATATCTAGACATATATATCGAGTTTTGAAAAACACACAATTTTTGACTTTTTCAGCTTAGACCCTCCTCTTAAATCCGGTTGGCCAATGGCTTGGTCAGTAAAGGTAAAATCTTGTCCTCGAGGCAGAAGCCACGCAATCACGTATCACCCGACAACCACAGCAAAGTTGATACAGGACTAGCCATAGATGAAGTTTGGTGGGTGCCCCGGCAAACAGCGTTTGCGTTGTTGTTTATATCCGACGGAAGTAAATCTCTGTGTTGGGAGCCGGCGCAAAAACAGGAGCTGCTTTCGTCACTTTCTAAACTATGTAAATGTTAACTGTTAAAGCAGCTTCTTGACTTGATGGTTAGATTCACGTCTGATGAGAAGCCGTTTGCATCTATACCGTTTAGATTGTAGCGCTTCATCAATTGTTGTGGATCTCGGATATGCTATGAGCTGTCAGCTAGTCCCCTAGCCGGCTCACAAGATTGTGTGAGCCAAGACAGCATTATGCTGCCCTGAATGAAAGAGCTGAGTTGAGGAAATATAGCCAGGGAATAAATAAGCTTCCGGTGCTCCCAGAAAATGCATTACAAGCGAGTAACATGAGTGCGTAGTCTACTTGTGACCAGCACTGTACCTTTAGGTCACTTACGAAAAAAAGGTAAATACTACGAGGGCAGAATCATCGATCAACTCGTGATTACACCTGACGGTTGTCATTAAGGTATTCCCGAACTACTATTGTTCACAAGTGCTGAGGGGACCCTTATGAAGGTATTTGGCCTCGTGTACTACACTGGTCCCTAGTGTCATTTAGTAGGTGCAGTGAGGGCTCAATATACGGTGTCCGGTGGCCGAGTGGTCTGCGCACGTGGTTTGCAACCAATAAGTTCCTCGGTTCGAATCCGCGTAGAGGTGTACCCTCGCGGTATACTCAACCCGCGCGCGACCGGTGGTGGTGGCACGACAGCGAAGCGCCGTTACGGCGTGCAGTTGACACATTACATATTTTTCACACTTTATTTATCTGTGCTCCCTCAATATTATGTTAGTCAAAGTGACATGACAGTACAACCGATGAAGCTTACCTCTTCGATAACCGGAAGGAACGAATCGGAAATGACTTCCCTTTTTGCTGCTGGTAAATGTCGCATCCGTTTCATCCAAAGACAAAATGTGTGGCACCCACAATCAATATTTTATGAAAAGCAGTAGGATATTCGTTCGTCCTTTTCACCGTCGCAGAAGACGAATAACAACTGATCAAAAATGCAAAATGTTTGCTGAACATACCTTCAGCCGCGTACACATTTTGACCTTCGTGATGTAATTTTTGTAAAACAAACAGGGACACTTTCCGGTATGTTTAGCAACGCAAGGAAAGGTGGAAAGTTTACGAGGAATCCTTCCAAGCTCAATATTAAAAGGGGCTCCAATTAAGTACCACTAAAAGTACAACTAAAGGTGGCGTCAGAACAATGGCAGAACTGGAAGGAATAATATATTGCCTAACAAAGGGAAGGCAAGGGTAATGCAAAATGGAGTGTAATTTTTAATCGCATTTGCCACACCATTTTGAGCGACATTTGTATTTATTAACTTGAACATTAGATAAAAGCAAAACGAGTTCATCTGAGTCAATACATTATAAATTTCTAACGTTCGATCATCACTGCCTTCGCAACTTAACTCATGTCTGGTGTGAGCACCGCGTGAGCAATGAGCGTGTTCGACATCTCGTATTTGGTGCAGGAAGCGCTAGTAAACCGCTCAGTAACGTTATAACAAGCACAAAGCTCCAATGGCTGGGCCACGTGTTGTGTATGCCAGCACATCGACCCCCGCGACGCCAGTTGTTTGAGTGACGCGGCTGTGGATGGAACAGAGAAGAGGAGGCCAAGCGAGAACCTGCTCAAGAGGAATGAAGTCTCACTTCGAAGTAGGCGTCCCGTTAGTGCGTCCCGTCTGCCTGGCTGGGGACCGAACAGCGATGAACGTGTTTGGTTGAATATACTTTTGATATGGCTAGGAGCCGAACTCAATGGATTTTCTGTTGTAAATTTCTTTCCCCATCTCGCTTATCTTCCCCCTCCAACCACAATCTCTATCCTGACATATACTTCGTTAGTAACTACAGTGTTACCTCTATTTGTTACTTTCTATAATGTCCGACAAGTTGCTTTTTCATGTGTCTTATATTTATGTATTACGGAAAAGTAGTGAAGTGTGTTTCTCACCTTCCGCAAATTGTAGTGATGATGTTATGGCAAATGTATCTCTGAAGTGTGGGATAAAGTAAACAAAGGAGGGTTAGTATGCGTTGATTGTTCTATTTCCATCCAGAAAGTACAATACTGTTGCCAGGAAACGTTTGGTTGGACAACAGTTTATCAGCATACATGACTATTCCGTGTGCACAGTGTGTGCCCAAACTGCAGCGAAAGTACGATGACCAAATAACTGTAAATGAACTTCCGGTAAATGTGAAAACGGGTTCTTTAGAGGCAATGATTGCATAATTTGTAACTCGTTCATATATCACAGTACTTACACCAAAGTAAAGGGAACAAGTCATACCATCTTGCAACAACTTTGAGATCCACAAGCAAAGACACTTCAATGGGATTCCATGGGTATCATACTCGGAGCCATCAGTGCTTTTCTTCCAAGCAAGCGTAGCCGATGTAGTATCCCCGGTAAAGTCTTATAATTCGATCAACCGATGGAGAATCGAAAAAAATCTCTAAATACCCTGCCCACTTACACACCCACTGATGTTCAATGGGTCCAAAAAGTTCCACCACGTGGCGTCAGCTGCTGCAAAAGAGGACCCGATCATATCTATGTGAACAATTAACAATTAAAATTATAACGGGCTAACGAAACCCTGCTTTAAAAGTCCTGTCTAAATAGTTGGTGGGGATAGCAAACTAATAATGATTTGGATGATGATGATGAGAATAACAAAAAATGATAATAATGATAAAATAATAACTTTAAATATTGTGGGAAAGACTTAGCGCCTGCACGTTTGCCACGGTTAACATCAAATAAATCAAAGATAAACTGCAGGAGTAGCGCTAGGTGACAAAGTGTAAGTGGATGACTACGTCATCCAACCGTTTAAATACTGTTAATGTCGGTGCACAGACGACCGATTCTGGGAGAGCAATCCATGAGTGACACACAAGAATGGAAAAGTAGTTCCTGTGGCACTCCAGACGGTCATAATGCTCTGCATGTTTCAATGATTGACCCCTCAAGTTGGTATGCCTCCTGAGTTGCGGTAACAGAGCGGCACGCATCATATGGGTCGTGAAGAACCAAGCATGTTGCACTCTGCGACACCGAATCGTTTCAGTTTCTCCACGTGTTAAAGATTGCCCATTTCAATTACGTTCTTAGATGCCCAAGGTTGAGGCTACTGCAGTGCGTTAGGTTGTCTTTTAACCTTACCTATCATCATCATTATACACGTTAGCTAGAGGTGGGCAACACCTCAGATACTGTGCCGCAATAAATAGAAGAAAAAAGGGAATAAAATGTAACAGGTCCGAGACAGCTGAGCTACGGGTAATGGATGGGCATCGTTCCGGTAAGCTACCAGCCGGCTACTATAAAGCAGAGACATATAATTTACTGTGCAAAAGTATAAAAGGCTAAATAATAAGATCGTGGTTAGAGGGGGATGGTAAGAGGGGTGAGGTGGGACAAAGAAACACAGCACGAACGCCACTGAGGTCGGCTCCTAGCCATATCAGCAAGTGTATCCAACCAAAGGTGTTCATCGTCTTTCGGACCCCAACCAGGGAGCCGAGACGCTCCAACCGAGGCCAGCTTCGAAGTGAGGGCCTTCATTCCTCTCGACCAAGTCATCGCTTGGCCACCCTCCTCTTCTTCCATCCACAACCCCGGCGCGCAAACAACGCACGTCGCGGAGTCGGTGGGCTGGCATGCGTAACACGTGGCCGAGCCATCGGAGCCTGGTGCGTGAAATAACGGTGCTGAGCGGTTCATTTCCTTTTCCTGTGCCGTAAACAAGGCGTCGAACACGCTCGTTGCTCACGCGGTGTTCCCACCAGATGTGAGCTAAATTGCGAAGGCACCGGTGGTCGAAGATAACTAGCCCCTTCATGTCCGCTGACCTAATTGGCCAGGTTTCACAACTGTACAGTAGGGTCGAACCTACCGCTGCAATCTGCACTCTACCCTTTAGGGCGAGAGTATATATATATATATATATATATATATATATATATTCATATATATATATATATACGGTGTGTGGTTGGAGCTGTGGGTGGTGCAGCGCAAGCCACCAATGGTCACTCTGTAGGCGCGCAGGCGTCCTGTGAGTGGCCACAGTGACAGGCAAATCCGAAATCGGATGCCACCCAATCATATATGTTTGAGGAGTGCCTCATGCTGAGGGTGCCCGTTTGCATTCATGATTGCTTTCACACCGCAGTTGGTCCAACCAACTTACACTTACACTAGGTCATTATTACCCAAGCATAAATTTCCTTCCTACTATAGTTGTTGAGTTAGTTTCTGTCTATCTGAATGAAGATCGTCTGAGTAACTGGCCAAGTCGTAGCTTACGCTAATTGTGGTTATCGTCGTTAAACTTTATTAATTTTTGTGGTAATTTATGGAGGGAATCGTAGACATGTTCTACTTATCCCGGATTCTTCGATAACTAACTTAATTTATATGCTAATTCATCGAAGAGTTATGTCGGCATAGCCGTATTCTTTAACAGGTATTTTTTTATTGGATACAATGTCATCTGTCAAGTGATTGGATCTGTTGTTGTGACATCCCCGCGATTGTGGATGCGCTGGATGTGCATGTTGACAAGGTGCCTACCTGTCTATTACCCACTACCTCGTCCATACTGGCTTCAGGAGACAGTTGGTCGTTGCTGGAGGGGACGGGTGCACGGTCCTTGTGGCCGTGCTAGGCTCGAAGAGTGGTTCCATGCACTCAGTGTGGAGCGGACTACGGTCCAGCCACCGCCTTGTGTGCGCTTGATTCCCCAAATACAGCGTGCTTGTGTTTGCCTGTGAAGGAGTATGGGCCGGCTCCGTTGATGAAACGTGGCTCCCATCCACATGCCTCCCGGTCTTATTCCTTCGGGTTTACACTGGATATGGGGTGTGTGGTTGGAGCTGTGGGTGGTGCAGCGCAAGTCACCCATGGTCCCTCTGTAGGCGCAGGCGTCCTGTGGCTGCCACAGTGACAGGCAAATCCGAAACCGGATGCCGCCAACCGCTGTT